GTGGGATTGTGTGTGTGTGTGTGTGTGTGTGTGTGTGTGTGTGTGTGTGTGTGTGTTTACTCGCACATGCACATTGCAAAAGCTGACTTATGGACTGTCAAGTAACTCTCCGTGGGGTAGGAAAACTTCAGGGTCAGCCAACTGGGGCCCCAGAGGCTTCACTCTAGCCAGGATGTCCCGGATGGAGCGGCAGGGCATCTTTCCAGAACTGCCACAGGGCTTGGCACCAGCTGAGGGATCAGGGTGTGGAGAGCCATCAGGACCTCCACTCAACGTTGAGGAAGACACAGAAATGCAAGGGTGACCAGAAGAGCTGGACTTGCTGCCACAGGGCTGAAGAATGATTTTGCCGCTTGATTGAGAGCTGGAGCTGCCGCTGAAAGAGCCAGTGCCTGGTGGGGAGCAGGGCCCTTGGGAAACACTGCCACAGGGATGGTAGGATGAACCAGAGCTGCTAGAAACACTAGAACTGCTGTGGATGCCAGAACCAGAGTGGGAACAGGGCCCCTTAGAGCCAACTCCACAGAGCTGAACCCCACCAGAGCCCACTGGCTGGAACACGATGGCTGAAGAAGCTCCCGACTGGTAGATGTTGGAACTGGAAGAGCTGTGGCTGGGGATGATGGGATTGCTGGAGAAGTATTTGCCCTCAGAGATGGGGGGCCCAGCTGCAAACGAGGGCACCCCTGGAGAGCCTTTGACAGGGTTATCTTTGGTGAAGTATCCCACAGGGTAGATTTTGCCCCCACTGTAGGTCATGCCTGGAACTAGATAACTGTCCGAGGAGCCACCCACTACCTCATAGCCACCATAGGATTTGTCTACAGAGGTGATGGGCGGGCAGGGCTTGCCTGAAAGGCCACCATTGCTACAGGGGGCACCTTGAACCACCCCGGGGCCACCAGAGCCATGCTGCTCCACCACCACCACCACTGGCCTTTGACCCCCTGACACAGAGTGAGAGTTGGAGATGTAGGAACCAGAGTGTGAGACGATAGGCCCCCCACTGCAAGGAGAGTCGGGGATGTCAGAACTACAGGGATGTAAGTTAGAGTTGACCCTTTGGCCACCACTGCTGGACATCCAGGAAGTTTGGGAGACAGAAGAGCTTGAGCCTCCTCCAGACTGCGAAGAGCTTATTACGAAGCGGGAAGAACCATCATTGGTTGGTAGAGCTGGGCCGGACCCCGAGTGGGAGCTGCTGCCCGACTGGGAGGAGCTGGATGCACTGAGCAGACCAGAGCCAGACCCAGAAGAGTGGCTGATCTGGGAATACCCGGTTCCTGGTTTAAATAACAAAGATCCCGAGGAACCACCCTGGGCAACACTGGATCCGCTGGAGCCACTGCTGGAGCCACTGCTGGAGCCACCACTGGAGCCACTACTGGAGCCACCGCTGGAGCCACTGCCGGAGCCACCACCTGAGCCACTGCTGGAGCCACCGCTGGAGCCACTGCCGGAGCCACCACTTGAGCCACTGCTGGAGCCACTGGAACTGGAAACGGAACTGCTGGAACTGCTGGAGCCACTGTGGCTACTGAAGCTACTGGAGTCACCCTTCCCCACGAGACAGGGGTCATTGGGGGAGGTGATACGTGTGGGATCCTTACAAGGGTCTGAGAAGGTCCCGATGCTCTTTGCCAAGGTCCCTGGGGAGGAAAGTCATGGTTAGTAAGAACCCGAGAGACTTGGCTTTCTCCCTCACCTTTCAGACCCATCTCAGTTACCTGCCACTCTGGTTTCTCCTGAGAGGAGCTCAGAGAGAGTTTGAGGTGGAAAAGGGAGGGAGACTGGTTGTTGTCTCTAAAGGAAAGTGAGATGGCAGAATAAGGGTAGTTCGTTGTTTTGGGAAGAGGTGGCGGGTGCGGGGCGGGAGCCGGCAAACATACACCAGAAAAGAAAATGAGACTTCAAAGTGAGAGGTCTGGAAGAAAGACAAGAGGGAGGGAGAGAGGCAGGATAAATGGTCTACAAGAATGACCTCAAAAAGACAGCGAGGGGGGAGACTGATACTCTGAGAGGTGGGAAAGAGATCCCCAAGGAAGAAACCTCATGTGAGACCGTAGGGCCAAATGACAGAGAAAACAATAGAAAACAATAGAAAACAATCAGGGACTGAGAAAGGAAAGACAAATAGCAAAAGAGACACTGAGGAAAGAGAAAGCCAGTGGCAGAGGGACTGAAGTAGAGGACAAGACACTTGAGGACTATGATTCAGTCACCAGCTTCCTCGTGAGAGGTCAGGCCTGGGTGAAGGATGGAAATTCTGTTCCCATCTCAGTGCTGTCCATGCAGGAAAGCTAGGTTAGGGCTAGAATGTGGGGGCACACACTGTTGCTTCAGAACCTGCTGGTACAGCATGATGGGTCACCGCACCCTGATCCACCCTTCTCTCCTGGCCCAGCCCAAGGACACCAGAATGAAATGCTTATGCAAGGCTCATGACCATGATCAGCTTTCTCTCTCTCTGCCCAGCCATCATGCGAGCACCTGTCTGCCCACCCCACCACACCTCCGCCACGTTGCTCCTGCTCGTATATCCCCCCTGGATGCAGAACTACCTCTTTCCTTAGCCTAACCTTTACTCCTAACCCCCGGCTCACCTACCTTCATTCCTCCTCCGCTGCCCCCTCAACTCCTTCTGGTCCTAAGTGGCATAGACAGAGCCGCATACTACAAGCTATGAAACCTCTCTGAGCTTTAGTTTATACATTCAAAGAGGCCACGGTCTTTCTTCCTCACAGCATTACTGTGCGCACTAAATGTGATTGATTATGTGGAAGGGGCTTTGAAAAAACAAAGCATTAGACATGATTTATTACTGCCACTCCTCCTTGAACCTTCCACCCACAACCAGCTGTCCACAATTTGTGATGTCCCCGACAAAAAGAAATTCTCTGCACCCCCCACACCCCAACTCTTCCCACACCCTGCCTTCCTGCACTAATTGTCCTGTGCCTCGCTCTCCTCCTCTGCTCCCCAACACCACGCAGCCTGCTCTACCCTCTCAGGGCCATGGGCAAAGTTGCTGTGAATATCCAGTCAACAGCCCAGCCTGGGGTTTGGATCCGGCTTTACTGCTTCTGGATTGGTGCTCCTGACCAGTTTCCTAACCTCTTCGAGCCTCAGCATCTTCATGGGCAGAGTGAGACTAGCAAATCCCTCTTACAGTTCTAATGATCAAATGTGCTAATGTATTTAACGTACGAGAACAGTGTCTGGCACATAAAAAGGGCTCTATAAATAGTAGTTATTATGGCTATTAAATATTCAGTCTTCATCTTCTAGAACTCAAATAACAACAACCAACTTTTATATAACCTTCTAGAATTTCCAAAGCACTGTCACATACATTATTTGAGACATAGAGAGACTGGAGTTAGGTGTTATTCTTAACCTCATTTTAAAGTGTCAGAAACTGAGGCTCAGAGAGTTTAAGTAACTTGCCTGGGTGACAAAGCAGTTAAGGAGCAGCCCGCAGACACCAATGTCAGATTCCAGAGCCCCCCACTCCCACCCCCTTACTGGATCCTCTCCTGGACTCTATAGCACAGTGGCTTCCCTCCCAGCCCCAATCCCTCCAGCCTTCCCTGACCTAGTATTCACATCCCTTTTCTCCCACCTCTCCTGCCCTCCCTCCTCCCAGGCCCACCAGCCTCCTACCTGGCAGGAGGAGACCAGCCAGCAGCAGTGCCATCATCCTTCGCCCTCCCACATGCCCCATCCGGGGTGCCCTCGAGGAGCCCATCTTGGACTGCGGCCTTCTGACTGAGGGCAGGTGGTGGACACCTGGGTCTTTATGGCAGGGCTGGACATTCTCTGGGCAGGAGTCACTGTGGGGAGGGGAGGAGAGGCGGAGGGCAGGTGCCCAGGGGGAGGTTGGTGTGGCTGGGAGGAACTGAAGTAATCAGTAGAGGCATCTGCCTACTCAGCAGCAGAGGTGGCTGCAGTGCTGGGCACCCGTGGCTCCAGGCCCTGACTGGCCTGCCCCTGGCTCTTTGTTGCCTAACCCGAACCAGGCATTCTGCCCCGATGGTGGCCGCCCACTCTGAGGCGGCCACTCTCACCATGGGCCCAGACACCTGGTTCCTTCACTCTCTTGCCTTCCCTGCATTAGCCTGTCCAACTCCTCATGCTCCCTCCACTTGCAGACAGATACTGGCATTTTGACTTTGCCCTCCGCACCTGAGTACCAGTTCTGGCTCCCCACCCCCAACACCTGGTTAACCCTGCCAGGTTCCCATCCATGCATGTGCAGCTTCCCTTGGGATCCATCATTCTCTTCCATATGTAAAGATCTGCACCCCACGCCCTGTGGCCCCTGTTGTCACTGCCCAAGTACCATGCCTGCCACACACTATCAAGTGTTCCATCAATGAGTGAGCTATTTCTGCTCAGAAACCAAGACTCTGCCTTCCAAAACACAGCTCCTTGACTTCTCCCTTCTGGGGCCCTTTAGGGGCTGGGTGCCAGAGCCTCAGCCTGGGGAGAGGCTTGGGCTGGGGACCACTGTCACAGCTGGGCTTCTGTTACTCACAAGCCACTCACAGCCCTTCCCCCCAGATGGTGATCCTGACTCCAGTGGGTGAGCCAGAGCATAATAAGGATAATTGGGGAGGTGGTGGCCCTGCCGCCCATTAGTTAGCTCTTGCACCTGGATGAGCAAACAGGAAGCACCAAGCTTGTATCTGGGGAGAGTGAAGGAGGGCCTAGAGTCCAGGGTCTCTGAAGGATAAAAGGCAGGACTGGAGGACCAGAGCCTAGGATCTGCTAAGAGGGGGAGGTTCCTTCTCCTTCGCATTCCCCTCCCTCCTGTTTTGGCCCTGGCCCCACCCCAGCCAACTAATTACTCACTGGTATTGCTGGGAGTATCAGTATCGGAGGGAGGTGCCTGGGAGTCAGGTCAAGCTGCTCTCTCCTGCTCCCCCACGCCCACCCAGACTTCGCCCTGCTACCCTCACCCAGACTCTCATTTCCATACTCCGAAGTCTCCTCATGAGGCTCCCCTGGAGCCCTAGCCTGGTCTCTCCCATTCTCCCCATCCCTGCCTGCCTCTCACTTCAACCCAGTACTGCCCGTGGGACTTTTTGCGATGATGGAAATGTTCTCTGTCTGTGCTAGGTAGCCACTAGCCACATGTGGCTACTAAGTATTTGGAATGGGGCTTGTATAACCAACCAGAGAAACTAAATATTTAATTTTATTAAATTTAAATGTGAATAACCACATGCTACTAGCAACTACCATCTAGTCTAGCCCTTGACTTTTTGCGATCACTCAAAATAGGAGTGGAAAGGAAAAGGGGCCTTGGGAGCTATGGCGAGAGGAGGTGATAGAACAGTACCCATTGAAGAGGGTCGATGCAGAATGCGGGGTGGGGCAGAGAACACTGGCTTTAGAATCAGAGGACCTGGTTCAAGTCACAGCTAACCTCCCAGCTTTGGGCAGCTCATTAAACTTTTCAGACTATCAATGTCCTCACCTGTCAAATGGGGATATTTCAAATCACACCTTGTGGGTTTTTGTGATGATCAAATGGGAAATTATCAGAAAAATTAAATGAGACGAGGGGCGCAGCGCTCCTGGTGCAAGCATTCCGCAAGTGGAGCTGCAGCGTCCTGTCTGTGTCCTCCACTGGGGGAAAGCAAGTAGATTGGGCTCATCCTACAGCCCCAGGTTCTTTGTCCACAGTATCCAGACCAGCTGACCTAGTCAAGTCTCCTCTGCCCCACCTGCCCCCTTCAGAGCAGCAGACACACTGTGCACATAGGTGTGCTATTAAAAACTAATTTGCCCCTTCCTTGGTGCCCCTCCTGGCCACATCCCTTCCTAGACTCTCAGACCCCACTGGCTTATCTCCAGGTAGAGGAGAGTAGGAGGGAGGGGGTGCTGGGAGCAGGAAGGGGAGTGGCTGAGAGAAGAGAGGAGCGAGGAGCCTTGTGGGTGGAGAGATGGGAAGGAACAGTGGGGCCTGTTCCTTTCTAGCACAGAGGTGGCAAAGTTCACCTTGTTTTCTTCCTCCCATTCCTCCCAGTTCCGTCAGACCTTGGCCAGGACAGCCAGCACTGGTGGAGGCACACTTTGTGGGTCTCTCTGGGCCGCTGGTCAGATTTCCAGCCACCCAAGCAACCTGGTGTGCAGCCACATTCCCACCTCCCACCCCCAACTGCTGTCCTCTTGTCCACTCTGTCTACCTCTTTCCACTCCATCCCACCACCTGCTCCATGTTTTTTACTCTGCTGTGTCCATGATGCTCATCATTAACCCTCTCTCAGCTCAGACAGCTAAAATCTGAAGCTAATAGGGCCCAGGAAGGCAGAGCAGGGACACTGCCTGAGTGTCCACCCAGGCCAGACCACCTTCTGGCTGCTCACCAGTTAGCCAAGGACTGCAGGTAGTATGGGGGAGTCTGCTGCATTTCCCAGTGACAGAGTACACATCACCCCACCAGCAAGTGCCTGTCCCAATCCATCAACTGGTGAGAGAGTGTGGGTGGCAGGGGTATCCACCCCTGACAGAAAAAAACAAACTTAAAGCATGTGCTTTCCATAGGCAAGATATCAGGGTCCCTGCCCTTATTCATGAAGAAGGCAAGGCAAGTCCACTCCACGCCATCCAGACTGCTGTACTGCATCCAGCATCCAGCACTAAGCACTGGCTCAGCGTGCACGGTCCTGCTTTGGAAGTTGCAGCAAGGAAGAAGATGAATTGTCTCTCGAGGAGCTGCAGTCCAACTGGGAGCACACAGCATGGAGAGAAGGCTGATATGGAGAGAAGGCCATGCTCCTGGCTTTCAGGAGGTAGCAGGACTTTCCCTGGGCCTTGAAAAATGAAAAAACAGGGAACAGGCAGCTGAGACTCAGGACTCTGGTGGCACTGAAAGTGTTTTTAGAGCACCTGGTTAGGGTTGGCTTGGGAAGCACACACACAGAGAAACGGTGGGTGGAGTAATGGAATGGCTGTTAGGGCCAGCACTGTAGGTGGTCTGAACACCAGGCTAGAGGGGAAACAGAGTACTGCCCAGGGAACTGAGGGCTCTGAATGGGAGAAAAGGATGGCCAGAGAGACGCTTACGAGGATAGAACTACCACTTCCTGATTGCCCACTGAGGGCCAGATATCACCCAGGTACTCCACAGGTGTTCTGCTCTGTGGTTTAACCTTTATGACCCTACAGGGTAAGTGTTTTTCTTCCCTATTTCATAGATGAGAAAACTGAGTTTAAATTATTTGCTTGAACAAACTGATAACGAGCAAAAGAGTTTGGAAAGGACTCAAACCCAAGCCTTTGGACTCCAGAGCCCACGCAGGTTCCACTCCTCTTCACAGCTGACACCATGCCATGATTAATGGCAGTGGTCCACGGACAGACTTCAAAGGTTTTTCAAACCCTTAAAAATGTGTGCAAAATTCCTCATTTGTCATCAAAGTCTTGAAAATTAAGAAGTCCTAAGTGAGAAAGTCAACAGCACATGCTGTCCCTCCCACTCAAGCTTTTCTCCTCTGCATTTCGTCCATGGGCCTAAAAATCAGGACAGAAATTCTAGAAATTCCGGAAATTCCATACAAGGGTCCTTGGTAGACCTAAGGTGTAGGCTTGAGAGAGAAAAAAAGGAGTGACAAAAGTGGGAAGAGAACACGTCTGAAAGAGGAGCTTATTTGTGGTGGGGAGAGGTGGAGAGGCCACCAGAGCCACTCTGGGCTTCAGGACCTGTGGGCTCCTCCCTCCTGTGCACCTCTCTCTGCTCTGCGCAGATGAACGCATTTTCCTCTCCTTCTGACTCATCTCTCCTACAATCACTGTTCCCTCCCTCACATGGGAAGCTGATGCTCCTGACCCACTCCCAGGAGGGTCTGCCCTCTGAGCTGTTTTTCCTGTAGTGGGGATGGGTGGCCTAAGTAATCTGCACTCTCCACCTGGTCCCTCTCATGACCAAGAACACAGAAGGAGAGGACGAGTTTGTATGCTGGGTGGACCCTCTTTAGCCCAGGCGTGGGCTAAACTCATATAAATGGGCTAAACTCATCCATTTTAGTCTCTCCCTCTCTACCTGCCTCTGTGGTTTCTTCCTTATGCAGATGATCAAGGGCAGGATCCACTCCCTGTCTGGCCTGACTCCTTTGCCCTCTCTTCTCAAATAGATTCTTGTAGCACATTATTGACAGAGCCCCCACATGACCTCAAAATGTGACAGAAACCATTGGCCCTGAACTGGGGGAGTGGGGGGTGGGGGGGTCCATGTTAGTCGACAAAATGTATGGCTGTTCACTGAATTCCAAGCACTTAGCCACAGGAGGCACTTGGTAGATTTTTGGAACAAAAGAATGAATGAATGTGCCCAGGCCACCCTTCCCCGGTCTGCATTATCCTGGAGCACATCTTCCTCTCTGGTTTCCATGCCCTCTTTTCCTCCCAACCTCACTTACTGCATGCAAAGCCCACTGTAGGTGTCGGGTGGGATACACTGATGGCCAAGGCCTGGCCTCCAGGAGCTCTCAGTCTAGCTGGGTAGGGGCAACAGGCAGATGAACTTGGCTCTGACACAGAGCCACTCACCCGTGCTCTCTTGTGGGTCTGTCTATCCTGCCCTCATTGCTCATGGGCGACTATCTCCCCTGAGCCACTCTTCTCTCCACAAGATGATCTCCATGGGATGATCTGAGGGATGCAGCACACTTCCATTAACAAGCAGTTAATGGGGCAATTTTCCCCCTAGTGCTGGGGGTGGGGTTGGCAGTGCTGCGTACT